TACTCGTAATGGTAAATTGCGAGTGTAGTTAGTTTAAGCATAATTTAGTGACGTTCTAATTTGTCACGGGTCACGACACACCCGTTGAGAACTTAGGACACGAAAGGTGGACACGTGTGGTGGGGAGGAGGAAGGTGAAAGTTGGCGGAAATGCAGCCAGCGTTTCAGCCTCCACCGACCGGACTACTGGGCGTACATAATAAGGATCAAATTCAATCAAAACCACCAAACGTGACACCAGAGATGCACACTGCACCGATGCATTGTCATCACTTCTATTTCAAGACCTTAATCCGATTTTCTGCCTATTTCCCTCCTCCTCCTGGAGACCTTCATCCTTTTCACTGAATAATGGAATTGGATACAATCCACCCTGATTTACTGGGAGGATGGAGGGGACTTATCACCAATACCGTTCTACGTCAAAAACTTTCCCCGAACGGTGTGAACATGCCCAACTTGCACCTAGTTAGTTAGCGTGTTTGTTAGCAAAATGAAGGTTAAGGTCTTCCGCTTGGTTTGTGAGACGTTTCTTTTTTCACTTCCTAACTGCACCACATTGTTATTTTGTTATGGGGAAAGTGGAAAGTAAAGCGGATCAAAGGTTTTGATTGTGAGTGAGTCTCACCCCCTCTTTTCTTCCAATATTATTAATCTCCTCCTCGCCTTGATAACGCTCACCACCACCACCACCAAATCAAACCACTACTCTCACTTATCTGGAGTAAGTAATAGTATTGCATGACACCACCACCACCACCACTTGAGCTTATCGTAATTCATGGGGAGTGGAATTGTCCGGAAGTGCAGCCGTTGTTGGGTAACGAGACAGAAACGAGGAGGACCAATCCCACGAACTAATATTATGTATTGGAGGAGATGACGATACGAAAAAGTGAATTGCATTTCCAACTACTTTGAAACCTAATCCTACTCGTTCGCACTATGTATTCAGCCACTCTTAAGCGTTCATTCGACCAAAATAAGACCCACGATATACGAAAATTGGGGCCTCGTATCGACCAACAAATCGGAGAGATCACACTCCCCATTTCCATTCTGACCCCCAGAAGAGGACCCGTTTATTCCTTCGTTAAGTACTGTACACATCAACGGAACAACAGATAATGTCAATCCAGCCATTACTGGGTAAATAAATACAACTTCCTATTTCCAAAAAAATATCTACTTATGATTGGAGAAATGGCGGACTGCATGGGTTATTTATTTTTTGTTAAATTGCGACAAAATCTGAGATTTTATGTGTGACATTTTCCTTGGTTCTGATTTTCGTACAAAATATTTAGTAATGTGCCAGTCAGTATGTAGAAACAGGACTGGCTTTACATTGTCAGAAAGACAGCAATAAAACTTAAGCGTTTGAAAAATGGGGGAAAAAATATGATTTATTTCTTAAACAAAGTCTGATACGATTTTACTGCTAGTTTATTTTGAGAGTTATGTACATGTAGGTATGTATTGTGATTCTTTAAATTGTGCAGTTCATGCTTTTACTTATTCTTGTGTAGTGATAGGTTAAATTTATTGGAGGTGTTTCATATTCATGGACTGACTTTTACAAATTGAGACATTCCAATTTGACTTGCATTTTGGACAAATAAAAGTTACAATTGCCAATATTTATTGTAATTTCGTAAAGTTTCTTAAATTTAAAATGGTTCTAAAAATGTACTTGCCGTAAGTTTTTAAGAAGTCATGTCACCTCTTCTCCTCCGGAATTATTATTCATTTCGATAGTTTTCTTCGCTTTTTCTGATGATTTCTGGCTTGAGACGAGTCCTGGAGGGTAGCTGGGTTGAAGAGTTTGTCACAAATTTAAACGATTTCTAATAAAATTCACCCACAATGTCACAAAGTTACGTTTCTGAACCATTCAAATTCATATCACTTATGAAACGAGTAAAAAACAAGACTTGAAGACTGATCGTTTACAACAATCAACTAAAAGAATTTAAAAAACCTCACATTTCTCTCCTCCAGATAAACAGAAGAATGTTGATATTACTCAAATTTTATTTTTTCGGTGTCAATAAAGTACAAGATATTTTTCGAAAAGCTGAGGAATACACAAGGTTTAAGAATGTAGTAGGGATTGATGTTGGCGAGTGTGTGCTTGGTTCGAGAGGTAAGTTGATACTGCTCCGGGGAAAGACAAACCTTGGGAGAAATACGGGTCTTTCTCATACCCGGGTATTACTACTTCTCGGATGGTGGGGAAGTTGTGGAGTAGTAAGGCCATGAAATGCACTTCATCCATAAATGGGTGCATTTTGCCTGCCAGTCGGCTTGTGCTGGGATTCTCGTCCCTTTCTTATTCTCTTCTGTCCCGGAACTTATACGCATAAAATGCACCCAATACACCAAAGTTTTTACCACCCAACTTCATTTCCTTTTATGACTGAATAAAAATTGGAGAGGAACGCGATGATGAGATATGGCCAATACGCTTCATCTAGTTTGTGGAGAAATTATAGCTTTTGCCTAAGTGAAATATTGGGAAATACACACGCGAAAATTGATTGCAACTACCTTTTAATCCACAAATTAGAGATAATTTATATACAGGAATAATTCATGTATGTATTTATGAGATACAGGGTGGTTTAAATGTCAGGTTACAATATTATTTGACACTTTATCATTCTATATCATTCTATGGGGCACCACCCCATAGAAACGATGTCAGTTAATCGTGGTCAGGTTACAATGGAAAATTTTTTAATGGGAAAAATTTTTAAATTTTCATTAGTTACGGATTTGGGATTGAGATTTTTATTAATTTTTATTAAAACTTATGACAAAATATTGAATTTCAGAGGCAAATTTAGGTAACTAATGGATATTTGCGAATTTTTCCCATTGCAAAATTTTTCATTGTAACCTGACATTTAAACCACCCTGTACTACATTCACTACAAGTTACGACTTTCTCAAGTATATCGCACACTACATAATTTAAGAAGGTCTAGACATTGGTCTCATTTTACTCAAAATGTTTCAACTACACTTGCAAACCCAACTTTCTCCTTCTTTCTCCCACTTCGACCGCCATCTTGGCAAACGTGGCTGCAAATATTTCGCCAAATCGACTACACCAGACTCCGTCCAATTTTCTCACTTTCACTTTCTCCTCTTCGCCTCACCCCCTAAAGATGGCTGTAAGCTTTCACTCAGCATAAAACCATGCAGATGATGCACTCTGCAATTCCTGCATTTGACAAGGAAAAATGCAGGACAGGAAAAACCAAACCAATTCAAACCAGCAAAAGGACCACCTACCTCGTATTAATGAATAATAAATTCAGTCTCACCATTGAGCCATCGTCTCACCCCACTTACGATTAATTTTTCCGGTGTTTTGTTTTCACTTCGACGTCAACCCTTTCGAAAGTGCTTTTCATTCACTAGTTTTATTATGCATTTGCATTTTCGACCCTCTCATCTCTCTCTCCTACCCACTTAAGAGTTGACTATATTTTATGTTAAACCAATCCTCATAAATCACATAGTGGCGAAACTGATGAACTCGGTGGGGTAAAAAGTTCACAAGTTTCGGTGGGAATTTTGAATTTTTTGCAAAAAACTGCAAATATCATCTGGCATTGTTTATGTTTTTAGTGGTTTCCAGTGGGAAGAGTATGTGTGGTGGTGGCTTCCCACCACGCATACTCTATGACAAGTTGAGACGAATCATGAAAAAATGCAAAATCTTGACCTGGTCATTCTAATTCCGAGATTAAATGTGCACTCAAAAATGTGGAATTTGTTGAATTACAACTAGTGATAGTTGCGCAACAAGAAAATAAGGCCCTTTGAGGAATTGATATGCTACTTTTATTTATATTAAATGCCGAAAATCAATTTCCATCAAAATTTTGTTTTTCTCGAGATTAATTGATTAATATAAATAAAAGTAGCATATCAATTCCTCAAAGGGCCTTATTTTCTTGTTGCGCAACTATCACTAGTTGTAATTCAACAAATTCCACATTTTTGAGTGCACATTTAATCTCGGTATAAGAATGATAAGGTAAAAAAGCTGTGCAAAAAATTATGCATGTTGTCAACATACGGAAAAATATTGAGCGAGGGACTGTATTGGCTGATAGAGCGGCCAGAGCAAACTATAATGCCCCGTTAACGTACACACAAATACATTCTCGTCGTCTGGTCTGTTTTTTGAATTGAATAATTAAGACTGCAACTTTCTATTACTTCTCTCGGACCCACCACCACCAGCCAAAATGCAGGGATATGTTTGTTGATTAAGTCGTTGCATTGTTCCTCCTCCGCCCCCTGAGCACGTATATTATTCAAAAGGTTACTTTTACTTTCCTCCTGCGTTGTTTGCCCTTTCTCATCTCGCAACCCTCCCAATTTCAACTTATGCATTAGTATGCGATTCCAATTTACTTTCTCTCTCCTCCTAAAAAAGAAACCACCACTTTCATTTACTTTTCAATGTTTCACATAAACATTGAGCGAGATTCGTTCCTGAATAAATTGAGGAGACAAGGAACTTAACCAAGTCTCTGGATGAGGGGGAGAGAAGAAGTTATCTTCAGGGTTTGTTTTGCATTACTCAGGGTGCAAATAAAATACCGGGTTTTAGAATAAATACCCGAGCGGGTGATTACTTTATTGCACAAGTGCGACGACAAAATATGTAAGTTCTTGTAAGTATCTGGAAAAGTTAAATTGGCCCATCCTGCGTGAATTTCTGTATATACATATTTATACAAATTTTGACTTTTTGGGAAAAAGAAATGTATTTCTTCAGTTCTTAATACGAAAGTTAAGAAATTACGAAACTTAATCATTAAAATTTATCTGTAGTTTGACACAATGTAACGACGCAATTGGAAAATAGGAGCATGTGTATGGCACTTTTATTTTATTGGGCTTTGAGTCGCAAATGCCTAAGACATTGAGTTTTCCTGACCGCCGAATAATAGAACGAGCAGTTTTAATAATAATAATAAACATACGGTTGTTTAAAATTTTGAGTATTGGAGCAAAAGTAAAATTTCTTGTTTTAAATTTTCATATTTTTTTTGTATATATACTTCGAGATTGGTTGGGTGACATTTAAAAATCTCATTTCATCCAGGTTAAGGATGCTCACTTTACATTTATTATATTATTTTTATGTGACTTTTAAATTTACTACATAAATTGCAAATAAATCACCGACCAGTATTTATAATCATAAATCATAATTCTAATTCATTTACAGGTTTATTTCCAGATTGGACTCAGTGGCTACCTACCTTATTTACGATTTAATCCAAGAAACGTGTTATACCGTAAGATTTTATTAAAATTTCACACAAAACATGTTAACTAATTAGATTCTGCATTTATATCCATGTGATATTTTTACGCAGGTAACTCAACAATGAATACTTTTGTCATTATTGGTCTCGTCCTTTCCATCGTTTTTGCGATTCTTCTCCTCTTCCAGTATTGCAAGGAACGTCGCAAGATGAGCTACGATTTGGATAGGATTCGAGCCGAATTGGGAACCAATGACTGTCCTTTTGTCAAGGTCATTATCGTCGACAAACACGAGCTATTTTCTACTGGCGAATTTGATGGGGACAAAATACGGGACCAAGAAAAGGTTGATGTAGACGGAGGTGGAGGAGGGACGAACCATCTTCAAGAAATCCGTCCTATATTTCATGACGGGTTTACCTTTCGAGCGTATTTCAAATGTATACCAAACTTATGCAAATGAATTAATTACTTCATAGGAAGCTTTACCTTGTTACTTTAATAATAAATATAGTCGTTCTTCAAACGACGGATACTATGTGGTTTAATCAAATCATGTTAATAATGTTTTTTTGACCTATTTATTGCAAACATTATAAGTAAATATTTCGAATGATTAAACTTAATGCGTACAAAATTTTTTACGCACTTTATGTAAATCTTTGTGATCATTTGCTCCCTGTTACTTCAAATTGGTTATTACATTTCACTTATTGACTACCGAAATTATATCAATTACATCATTGACCAGCTCTAATCCCAGTGTGTAAAAACCAAGCTATCACCTACCCGGAGTATAGTGTCTTTACGTATATTTAATTGTGCTTTGCTCGTTGGAATTGAAGAAAGTGACGGAGTGAATATACGATTATTTTATCTACTTAAACTAGATTTTATTTCCAACAAATTACTAATTGTCAACACAATTCAGAGCTCTGCACTAACACGAGTTGATTGGTGACTTACTATTAACAAATTAATCGTGGACATCAATAACAAAGAATTAACAATTCTTACTCTTGATTTCCTACCACGACGACAAAAATCCAAAATGTCTGACTTTGACAACGAATAAAACTCGACTGTGTAGAATTCTTCTACCTACTTACTTACTACGACTTAACAAAGAGAGACGCGCACCCAAAAATCCCACCCTGACGTCACCATGGCAACCACCACCACGTCTCGGGGCAATTATAGACGCGTACTCAACAATTTACAAAAATACATAAAACAATTTCATAACTACATCATTTTACATTTAACACAGTGCATGTTTCTTTTTTTTGTATCTTGGAAGGACAAGTCCCTCATGTAAATGTAATAATGTTGAGATGTGTAATCTTATGTCTGTCTATCTATTTACATTCGCATACGTTAATCTCATTACTTGTTTAGCACACATTTTACGGAATTTTAATTTGCGCATGTACATTGTCCGCGCCAGTACAGGGCTATTAATTTACGATGCGAGTACTCAAAGTCATGTAAATACGTAATAATTACTTACAGAATGTTTGATTTCTCCAAATTGTGTAATAAAATACTGGCCGACTATAACACGCACTTGACTTCGAGTAAGTCACATTTCATGCACTTCCAAACAACTTGTTAGCCCTTGGCAAACCACTCGAGGCATTACCCGTCAATGGCGTGTGTTTTAAACTGGCATAATGTGAACTAGAACCCTCATGAATGGAGATTGTGCTTGGATGACCTGGCTCACCCGTCGTGTGTTGTTTCGAAACTGCTACTGGCCCATGTGAAGCCTCTTCCTCTGCAGGTGTCGTAAATGATTTTGGTGTGGAGGGAGTGGTTGTCGCATTGAATGCTCGTGACACGGTGGAACCGGGTTTATGTGAAGATGCATGGGCATCAGCGTGACTGAAATTGTCATGCTTTGGTGCATGAGTTTTGCCCGTCGTGTCTGCAAGTGGCAAACCACTCGAGGCATTACCCGTCAATGGCGTGTGTTTTAAAGTGGCATGATGTGAACTAGAACCCTCGTGAATGGAGATTGTGCTTGGATGACCTGGCTCACCCGTCGTGTGTTGTTTCGAAACTGCTACTGGCCCATGTGAAGCCTCTTCCTCTGCAGGTGTCGTAAATGATTTTGGTGTGGAGGGAGTGGTTGTCGCATTGAATGCTCGTGACACGGTGGAACCGGGTGAATGTGAAGATGCATGGGCATCAGCGTGACTGAAATTGTCATGCTTTGGTGCATGAGTTTTGCCCGTCGTGTCTGCAAGTGGCAAACCACTCGAGGCATTACCCGTCAATGGCGTGTGTTTTAAAGTGGCGGGATGTGAACTAGAACCCTCATGAATGGAGATTGTGCTTGGATGACCTGGCTCACCCGTCGTGTGTTGTTTCGAAACTGCTACTGGCCCATGTGAAGCCTCTTGCTCTGCAGGTGTCGTAAATGATTTTGGTGTGGAGGGAGTGGTTGTCGCATTGAATGCTCGTGACACGGTGGAACCGGGTGAATGTGAAGATGCATGGGCATCAGCGTGAGTGAAATTGTCATGCTTTGGTGCATGAGTTTTGCCCGTCGTGTCTGCAAGTGGCAAACCACTCGAGGCATTACCCGTCAATGGCGTGTGTTTTAAAGTGGCATGATGTGAACTAGAACCCTCATGAATGGAGATTGTGCTTGGATGACCTGGCTCACCCGTCATGTGTTGTTTCGAAACTGCTACTGGCCCATGTGAAGCCTCTTGCTCTGCAGGTGTCGTAAATGATTTTGGTGTGGAGGGAGTGGTTGTCGCATTGAATGCTCGTGACACGGTGGAACCGGGTGAATGTGAAGATGCATGGGCATCAGCGTGAGTGAAATTGTCATGCTTTGGTGCATGAGTTTTGCCCGTCGTGTCTGCAAGTGGCAAACCACTCGAGGCATTACCCGTCAATGGCGTGTGTTTTAAAGTGGCATGATGTGAACTAGAACCCTCATGAATGGAGATTGTGCTTGGATGACCTGGCTCACCCGTCGTGTGTTGTTTCGAAACTGCTACTGGCCCATGTGAAGCCTCTTCCTCTGCAGGTGTCGTAAATGATTTTGGTGTGGAGGGAGTGGTTGTCGCATTGAATGCTCGTGACACGGTGGAACCGGGTGAATGTGAAGATGCATGGGCATCAGCGTGAGTGAAATTGTCATGCTTGGTGCATGAGTTTTGCCCGTCGTGTCTGCAAGTGGCAAACCACTCGAGGCATTACCCGTCAATGGCGTGTGTTTTAAAGTGGCATGATGTGAACTAGAACCCTCATGAATGGAGATTGTGCTTGGATGACCTGGCTCACCCGTCGTGTGTTGTTTCGAAACTGCTACTGGCCCATGTGAAGCCTCTTGCTCTGCAGGTGTCGTAAATGATTTTGGTGTGGAGGGAGTGGTTGTCGCATTGAATGCTCGTGACACGGTGGAACCGGGTGAATGTGAAGATGCATGGGCATCAGCGTGAGTGAAATTGTCATGCTTTGGTGCATGAGTTTTGCCCGTCGTGTCTGCAAGTGGCAAACCACTCGAGGCATTACCCGTCAATGGCGTGTGTTTTAAAGTGGCATGATGTGAACTAGAACCCTCATGAATGGAGATTGTGCTTGGATGACCTGGCTCACCCGTCGTGTGTTGTTTCGAAACTGCTACTGGCCCATGTGAAGCCTCTTGCTCTGCAGGTGTCGTAAATGATTTTGGTGTGGAGGGAGTGGTTGTCGCATTGAATGCTCGTGACACGGTGGAACCGGGTGAATGTGAAGATGCATGGGCATCAGCGTGAGTGAAATTGTCATGCTTTGGTGCATGAGTTTTGCCCGTCGTGTCTGCAAGTGGCAAACCACTCGAGGCATTACCCGTCAATGGCGTGTGTTTTAAAGTGGCATGATGTGAACTAGAACCCTCATGAATGGAGATTGTGCTTGGATGACCTGGCTCACCCGTCGTGTGTTGTTTCGAAACTGCTACTGGCCCATGTGAAGCCTCTTCCTCTGCAGGTGTCGTAAATGATTTTGGTGTGGAGGGAGTGGTTGTCGCATTGAATGCTCGTGACACGGTGGAACCGGGTGAATGTGAAGATGCATGGGCATCAGCGTGAGTGAAATTGTCATGCTTTGGTGCATGAGTTTTGCCCGTCGTGTCTGCAAGTGGCAAACCACTCGAGGCATTACCCGTCAATGGCGTGTGTTTTAAAGTGGCATGATGTGAACTAGAACCCTCATGAATGGAGATTGTGCTTGGATGACCTGGCTCACCCGTCGTGTGTTGTTTCGAAACTGCTACTGGCCCATGTGAAGCCTCTTCCTCTGCAGGTGTCGTAAATGATTTTGGTGTGGAGGGAGTGGTTGTCGCATTGAATGCTCGTGACACGGTGGAACCGGGTGAATGTGAAGATGCATGGGCATCAGCGTGAGTGAAATTGTCATGCTTTGGTGCATGAGTTTTGCCCGTCGTGTCTGCAAGTGGCAAACCACTCGAGGCATTACCCGTCAATGGCGTGTGTTTTAAAGTGGCATGATGTGAACTAGAACCCTCATGAATGGAGATTGTGCTTGGATGACCTGGCTCACCCGTCGTGTGTTGTTTCGAAACTGCTACTGGCCCATGTGAAGCCTCTTCCTCTGCAGGTGTCGTAAATGATTTTGGTGTGGAGGGAGTGGTTGTCGCATTGAATGCTCGTGACACGGTGGAACCGGGTGAATGTGAAGATGCATGGGCATCAGCGTGAGTGAAATTGTCATGCTTTGGTGCATGAGTTTTGCCCGTCGTGTCTGCAAGTGGCAAACCACTCGAGGCATTACCCGTCAATGGCGTGTGTTTTAAAGTGGCATGATGTGAACTAGAACCCTCATGAATGGAGATTGTGCTTGGATGACCTGGCTCACCCGTCGTGTGTTGTTTCGAAACTGCTACTGGCCCATGTGAAGCCTCTTCCTCTGCAGGTGTCGTAAATGATTTTGGTGTGGAGGGAGTGGTTGTCGCATTGAATGCTCGTGACACGGTGGAACCGGGTGAATGTGAAGATGCATGGGCATCAGCGTGAGTGAAATTGTCATGCTTTGGTGCATGAGTTTTGCCCGTCGTGTCTGCAAGTGGCAAACCACTCGAGGCATTACCCGTCAATGGCGTGTGTTTAAAGTGGCATGATGTGAACTAGAACCCTCATGAATGGAGATTGTGCTTGGATGACCTGGCTCACCCGTCGTGTGTTGTTTCGAAACTGCTACTGGCC